CGATAGCGTAGATTGTACACAAATAAACAAAGAGAGCACAAATAATAACTTTTATATTAAATGAGAAAAACATAGAACACAAGATAGTAAACAAGAATGAGGTGTCATGAGAGTGTACTTCATTGTCAGTAGGAATTTGAATCTAAGAACTAAACAGCCAGTAAGAAACTATGCGTTTGTCGTATAAGGTTCGTACCTCAACATATATACCATTGACTTACAAATAAAAGTCAATGGTATATACTAAATCTATGCATACCACAGACTATTGCATTGGTAACCACCTGGTAACTCGGACACAAATTATTTTTTTTTTGTTAAGTTCCCGAAATTAGGGATAGATGGCACCATCTATCATCTATCCCTAATTTCGGGAACTTTTTCGTAAGTTTTACCATTTTCTCACGTGGCATTTTGGAGAAGAAATTATCTACTTTATTTTTGTGATGAACTGGTTAATCTCTTATTAGCTCTTTACAAATCGGTCCAATCAGTACATTTGATATTATGTGAACTAAATGTGGACTGTGTCTATACATACGTAGGTACTGAAATTGAAGTTAAAAGTCGCTCGATATTAGGAAACTAAGGGTCATATTCTAGAACTCTACTCAATGCTCAAGTCAGGATTGCACTGTACTGGAAACACAAGTACTGGAAATACGACTCTAATGGCAGGGACTTGCGTATGATTTCGAGTGCTTTAAAGCATAATCAAATCCTGATTTGAGCATGGAGTAGAGTTCTAGAATACGGTTCTTAGAAACTGGCGCTCGGTTATCAGTCCGGTTACATATTAATTAGTCATTAGAGTTTCATAAAATATTTCTTTTATTATTATTTATATTTATTTTATTTTCAGACTTAGGCCGCTATTATAATTTGAAAAACTTAATGATTTTATTTTGTTCAAATTTGTAATTAAGACATTTGAAGACGGTAACTTGAAAAAATTAATGAATTTATTTTATGCAAATTTGTTATTAAGACATTTGAAGACGGTAACGAATTCTTTTAACTATGATTATGCCATTTTTATTTCGATTAGAAAAATCTTTTTAGAGGAAGAGGCAAGTCCACACAATACTCACCTAGCAATCCTTGAGTCGTATTTGAGAACTCGACTCAGTGCTCAAGTCAGGACTTGAATATGATTTCAACCACTAGAAATCATACTCACCACACCACAAATTACACCCAAACTCACGAGGGAAATAAATGTAGACCATACAAATATTTCTCCCGGCCCGGGAATCGAACCTGGGAAATCTGCGTAGCAGTCCGGCATGGTAACCGTTCGGCCACAGAGGCAGTTAATTTTAAACTAATCGATTCATTCATTCATTCCGTCATTGTTTCGTATTCGGTCTGGCCAATCGGACCGCAGTTGTCACCGTAATGATTTGACAGAATAGCTTTCAAACAAATTAAATGACACTTCGTCTCTATTTCTGGTTATATACTCGATGAATACACAAGACGTGTGCGTGGCGTGGTCGCACATTAGACAGAGAATGTCCTATAAACAGCTACACTTATTAGAGGTAAGGCTTTAGAAAAATATTACCTCCTTTTTTGAATAAACTCTGGGATAATTATTTTGTCATGTTAATAAGCAGTGTGTAATTTTTATTGTGATGGGTGGTTGTCAAGGTTTCGTTTTTAGCGTTTTCATTATATTTTTAGTCAATTGACAGCTCTGTTAACTTTACGGGACATTGGATGGGATCATAGAGAAGTGGGTACTGTGTTGATTTCAACTCTAATAGCCCTAACCGTTCTTGAGTAAAAGGTAGTTTATAGGATATCGTTAGGTAAAAGGGTTCTGTCAGACGGAAATTATAGTGATCGTTTAAGTAGGTAGGTACACTTTTTTTTTTTAATTTTACGACTGTAAAAAAACCAAATTGCATAGGGGTATCTCATTTTCATTAAAAATAAAATCGTGAAACCAAATTTATAAAACACAGGCAAGAAATGACCTCTTTAATTACCGTCCGATTGAATTACTACCAACCTCCGCAAAATATTGGAAAGTGTCATGTCAAAGGAACTATATTCATTTTGTCAATTTAATATATAATTTAATATAATATATATAATTTATTTCACGACACGAGAAGGCATACAATACAATACAATACATAAAAATTCTGTTTCTATCATTCTTTCAATGAATGTTGCAAAATATTTATGATATTAATTATAAAGTAATTTTCTTCTTCATTAAATAATCTTCAAAACAACGTCTGCTACCATTTTTGAGTGTTTTAATGTATTCCGATTCTCTCTCCCTGTGGCCCTATGTAATTGTTTCCGTAAAGAAGGGGGAAGCGGGGCAGTTTGATACAGGGGGCATATTCTTACACTGCATTATCTTTATACCTTCAAACATAATATTAGTTGTGATAATACTAAAACGTGCCTTTGTAAGTGTGAGTAATAGACATGCGATGATGTAGCTCACCAGTTAGCCGTTGTCGTTCGACAAGTCACAAAGTTTTTTCACAGCCGTTGACTAAAAAAATAAGTGACACAAATATGAGTGCCACTGCAGTTTTCTTCACTTTACAGGGTTTTATATCTTAAGACAGGGTAAACTAGTGTTTTCTAGATTTGGATGTGACTGAGAGAGTATAATATATATATTTTTTAAATAAATATTCTTTTCTAAACTGGTCGGGGGGTACTTTTATACACCAGTGGTTTGTACGAAAAATGTAAAACTAAAAAAAAACTAATAACATTTTGCGTTATAGTCAGCTCTTCCTACTGCATTTCTACTTCCAAGACTACATTACAAAGAACACTTTTCAAATGGTGCCTTAGAACCATTGACTTACAATTATATGGACGTCGGGTCCGCGCTAAAAAGTGTCCAAACTTATAGGGCGTTAAAATCGTATACAGAGCGTCATTCACGCTTTAGTCTTCGTTTCTTCGACTGACAGCGAAGCAAGCAAAATTAGACAGTACTGCGATGACAATACAATTTAAATTCAACGTTTTAGCTTTTTCATATTCCTTTACATGTCACTACGTATGTACTGCGATGACATTATAATACGTGGCAACCAGGAATGGCACACTATGTTCATTCACACATTCTAAGTACTTCAAGCGATGTATCAAAGTACCCCACAGGTGGGGCAGAATTGGACAATTCCCATTTTTTGGTAAAATCATAATTTTTCAGTTATTCACTGCCATTTATGAAAGAAAAAATTAAATTAGTAATGTGTATTAGTTATATCACCAATTAGGTATACAAAATATTCATTACAATTTGATATAGTAGCCCAAAATAAAAAGTTAAAAAAAGTGTACGAATCTGCCCCGCTTCCCACTAATGTCTTTCGGGACACTGTAATAAAGATATTTAAATTATTATGCAAAAATATATTTTTCGTTAATATGATAAATTATTATTAAAGTTTCAATTTTACACACAGATGTAGCGAAACTGTGATTAAAAGTTGGCAAAACCAAAACAATTTCTAGGTTGTGTATTCTAATAATTTAAATTTTAGACCGCATCAGTGAACTATTTCACGATGTAATGTATCACATATTGTATGTACGCTACATTATATATTGTATATATCATACTCGCGAGTGAAAAGACAAACCTGGAAGCTTGACTTCACTATTGCTTTTACGCTCGAAAACGTTACAATGACCCATTTTTTATGATTAATCTTTCAATTTTAAGTGATTTCGTATTCAACAAAAAGTACAAACATGGAAAATTACTATATTATTTTCGCATAGAACTGCGATAACGAACGGTCACTTGAACAAAATGTCATTTCATTATTTGTTTTGCCAAGTTGAGTGGCAAAACAAAAATGACCTTGAAGAAATCGGCACGCGAAAAGAGACAAAAAGAAATTATGACACCCTACTCGTTTCGTAACGATATTTCTAGCGTTTCTCTTTCTTGTGTGAGTGGGAACGAAGATATGGCGGCGTCTATAAGTTTCTCTGTCTACGGCACATTACGATTCGGTTTTTTTGAAGATCGATTCAAATGCATACGATCTACTATTTTTATACCGATTTACTTTAATGCTATTTTTATCGAATCGATTCAACACAGAACAAATCGAATCATCAAAATTAGAAACCAATGAAAAATTTGTAATAATATCATTGTATTTATTAGAAAACAAAACTGATTTACAACAAATACAGCTTGGCAAAAAAGAGTATGGATTTAATGAGGGCGCTAAATCAAATATGTGGCAACCCAATATACTACGACGAAAAATGTTTAGATACTTGTTATTTATATTTATTGTTAAAGGCTTTTAGCGCCCAGACACACGACCCGAAAACTTTCTTAGTAGGCAACAACACTTAAATTTCTCGGAATAATACAACCGCACGTTGTCCACGCGGTCGCCAAGTGGACGAAAGCTAAACCAGCCTCGTATGAAATTCTCCAAACTCTTGTCTTATTTCCAAAATGGGATGAACCCAAAATTATCTCACCTCTTTTTTTCTTCTTTGCATTATTTGTATAAGTAATAATGCAATAACAACTTGTTTCTTTGTAGTTAAACTTCGCATAATTTTAGTAACTGGACGAACCCAAGTCGGCAAGCAGTAATGTGATGAAGTTTTTGTTTCTTGAAAATTCTGAATTTAACTTCTAAACACGTGAACTCCGTCACCGCGTCACGGCGACATATTCGCGTCAAATAAACGCGCCCTTAGAGTTAATTTTCAATTACCATCAGACTCGATCCATCCACAGTAACAACATAATATTATATAGCAACATAATATGATCCCTCACAGAATTATTTGTTTTTATAATTTAAATGACCTTTTTCCTTCTTACTAAGGGAGATTCGAGCAGGTTTAATAATTATAATAAAATAAATAGGATAAAAGGGAAAATGAACCATTTATTGTTTGTACAATTTATTCTAATAAAACAAAATAACAATTTTTTTTTTTTTAATAAATACTAATTTTCGGAGAATATCGCGGTTTTTTAGATTCATTTTACTCCCGACGTTTCGAAGACTGATTCCTTCATGGTCACGGGGCGGAATGAGCTGTTGGTCGTCTTCGATGTCTAACATTCGCGTAAACTTATAAAATTTCAAAATCAATCAGATTCCAAAACACTTTCATCGAGATATTCCACCCCAGAAAACTCTATTGTATCTTGGCTAGACGTTCCGGCAACAACAAACTCATCTGAATCACATGAATCTGAAGTGGTCTCGCTACTGCTCTCATCTCTGACGTTAATAACCAATTTTTCAATGTCGTCATACATAGTCATACCCCTTTCATAATACTCTTTTTCAATTTTAATAACATGTTGGCATGAATTTTTCCAATCTTCGGCAGTAATCGCTTGGAATGTTTGTTCAGCTGCCATCTGTCGGAATAAAAATATTATTGATTAAGAGTTCAACTTAATAACATTAAGAAAAACGAATTGTGAACTAGATCCCTACCTTTATGTCAATGGACCCTACATTGACAGAGGCAATTTTATGTTTTGCAATTCCCCATATCAATTCAATAGGTTTGAGGTCACAATGATATGGAGGCAGCCGTACCCCAGTGTGACCATGATCCCCCAATATTTGGTCAATTTCATAAAGGGCCTCTGGTTTGTGGCGTTTTACAAGCATTAACAATTCAGGTTTACGCATCATTTCATCAAATTGTATATTGTTTTGTAGCAACCACAGCTTTACATCAGCAACTTTTGTTGCACTGGTTGGGGCCTTATTGATGACTACCGAATGGTAAGGAGCGTTGTCCATAACAATAATGGAAGGCTCTGTCAAATTGGGAATTAATTTCTCGGTAACCCACTTGGTGAAATGTGCTCTATTCATTTCAGAATGATAATCTTCATTCTTGTTTGTGCCACTGAAAATTAATAGTGCATTTAGAAGAAACCCCTTTTCACTCCCAGCATGCACAATAATATATCTTTTGCCTTTAGATATATTGTGTCGCACATACTAACTTCAATTGATTGCCAACATTTTTTAAGCTTGTAAGATGAGTGTACGTAGCTTTCATCCAAAAAAATAATTTGTTTTTGGAGTTCTTGAGGCAAATTTCTATTATGCATTATAATTTTTAAATATTGTTCCCTCTTTGCTGCTATATTAGGCTTCTCCATTAGTGCCGATCTGTCTGTTTTACATTTTTTGTAAGAGAAACCCAGAGAATGTAATATCTTTCTTAGATGTTTACGGCTTCCATTAAATCCCAAATCTATATAATAATAGTAGTAAATAATAGGTAATAAATTTCGTAGTGTAGGCACCTGAGAAAAAAAAAAAAAGGTTTTTATTTATTACATAATACTGTTTTTTTATTGAAGAAAGTGGCATTAATATAAAATATAATACATGCTTGTTTTTTTACCGTGTAGAAGAAATGAACCTTTTGTCTAATTGCGCAGAGGTCAAATTCATCGAGATCTTTCTTTGGTCGACCTTTCCTATGTTTACCAGGTGTAGAAAACACGCCATTATTTTTTTCACCTCCTTCAACAATTTTTCTTATGGTATTGACAGATTTACCTAAAATAAATACTTAACATACACAAATATACAAAAACACCAATTTATTTGAATTTTAAGTCTTGAAAGAATCAAAAATATTAAGTCAACTTATAAATGATACGTAAACATAACCTTAGTTACTATTTTGTCAACTAAACACAAAAACTCGTTAATTGTATATTATAAGTAGTGCAAAGTGCGTAATTCGACATGTAGAACGTAATAATAATTGAATAATTTGCATAAATACCTGTCATATCGGCTGTTCTCTGATAAACATTGTTAATTTCAGACAAAATTTGTCCCGCTTGAGATTCAGCCAAACATCGTAAAAAAACTTGGTATATCGAACTGTTCTACCACTACTACGAATTGTTTTGTTCATTTTAAATAACAAAACAAGCAACAACCGTACGAGAATTTACAGAACTTCGTATAAAATTACTCAGCGCATACAGCAATAACACAAAAGCTACTGGTTATTTGACACCACTGACATTTTTAATAGTGTTGCCACAAATATCTTTTTTTAGTTCCAGTTTTCACCGCGTCATACTCTTTTTTGCCAAGCTGTACCTATTTGTAAATAATATTTGCGGTCGATTTCAGCCGTCAGTGGGTTTTAACTCGATATAAATCCACTTGCACATCTTTGGTTGCACAGCGTTACTTTTGAATTAATTAGAATTGCGGGCTTTTGAAGTTACAACTACAGACTTTACAAACATTATTTTTATTTTAAGTATATTATGAAGAAAAAACGAAGAAAGAAATAGTGATGAAGAAAGTTGGAACTATATTCCTTATGAATATTATTATATTTGTTAGTAAACTAAATTACAAAAGACTTTATCCTGAAAATTCCACTAATTTCGAATTCATAGTTTCTGTTCAAAGTGATAGAAGACAATGTGATTTAAGTAGCGAAAGTGAAAACATAAATATTGACTCCCGCTGCTTAAAAGACTATGTAAAAACCCGTGTAAGTAAACTAAGTTATTTAAAAGAAATTGAAAACATAAATATTAGTACTACAATGGAAAATAATAGTACTGAGTATCTCGATAATTAAACGAAGACATGGCTCAAGGGACTTGTATCCAAGCCAAAACTCTTAATAAAAAAAAATTGAAGCAAGAGAGAAATGGCGGGCTTTTGAAGTTACGACTTTTTATAATAGGTATATTATAAAGAAAATACGAAGAAAGCAATATGGAATTCCCTGCAGCCTTATTCCCTGAACAGTATAACTTGGACCTTTTCAAGACGAGAGTGAATATCTTAGAGGATGGAAAGTGAATATGCATTGTCTATGTGTGCATGCTCCATCGTCGACGTCATCGTCACTTTCGTCCATCTTAGAGATGGTTAAATAGTCAGCTTTCCATCAGGTGAGATGGAAGTCAAACACGCAGTTATTTTTTTTTATATAAAAAATAATGCAACAAAGGGTATAAATGTTAATCCTCCATTGCGCATTGTCTTCCTCTACATAAATTGAATGCCTTGGTCTTTACTGAACTTAGAGCATAATGGGACGGAAGGCGCTATTAGCGTTATTTCTCGAACAAAACTTTCTGCCGCTTTTTGAGGGGCGGGTGGGGGTAGTACTACAAGCAAATAGGTGCACTCAAATGCATAATGGGACGGAAGGCGCTATTAGCGTTATTTCTCGAACAAAACTTTCTGCCGCTTTTTGAGGGGCGGGTGCGGTGGGGGTAGTACTACAAGCAAATAGGTGCACTCAAATGCAAAATTGAATTGTGTCACTTATGGTCTCACACAAACAAAAGTCACTAGCTTATTTTTACAAATCACAGATAAAACACACATTCATGTCACGTCCATACACAGAATAGGCCTATAAAAATAAATCGATTATCATGAATATACTAGAGACGGAAAGTTATCGAAGTGACTGTATCGATATGTATTACGTACTGGTTAATCATGTATATGAAAAATGTAATTCTGCCCTTGGCTAGATTGGATGTAGTGAATTTCTTTTTCCAATTTTGTGTGTAGTATAACAGTGGTATTGTTTTAATTGTATTTGCCAGAGGAGATTTCCCATTGACTTACCAATAAATGGATGACAATAAATACAATCCAAAGACTAATCCAAAAACCACATAAAATGTCCGCAGTTTTTTTTTCAGTGTATAGAGGCAATGACAAGCATGGCCGGAGTTGACCTTTAAAAACGTAGTGACATGTATAGAATTATTTAAAAAACTAAAACATTTAATTTAAACTGTAATGTCATTGCAGTATTGCTTAATTTTGTTTGCCACAATTTAAAGGCCAAAAAAGTATCCGTATTCAGCTTCTACTGGAAATAACAAAACGCACCATATTTTAGCTTGTAGTGAAAACTACTTGAACACAAGAGTGATGGAGTAGTCTTAATGTCAATATTAATTAATTTTATACTCAGTGTTATTTTGAATTTTATACGAATTCACTTCAATCAATAAGAGCTATGCAGATATATAGGTACATACAAATATTGTAAATGTAAAAATAGCTGTGTGTCTCTCTGTTGGTAGTTAAGACGCGCTATAAGAAATATATCGATGATCCGAATTTCTAGATTCCAACTAGAAGTAAACTCAAAGTTTCATAATCTTGAAAACCAAATTATAACAAAACCGTTATGCTTTCAGGGGATTTTGGTTGCTTATTACAAAGAAAAGATTAAGTTAGTTTGTTTTGTAATATTCCTAAAATAACCTAAAAAAGTACATTTGGGATTACAAAAATTCGAGCAAACATTACTTAGCGCAAATGTATTTTCGGACTTCTGATTGATATCTCCAAACAGTAAAACGAATACAACAATATTTGGTTAGTTATTTATTACTAACATTTAATAAGAAGTCATTTTAAAAATAAGATTAACAATAAATCAACTCTATAGTTTTTGTTCTAAATCTAAATATTTCAATCCCTTGTGGTTCGAAAATTGAAATTGACGTAACGGGTCTCTTTCTGTCTTTTGCGCATGTCTTGTGTAGGATAGGGACAATTAGCTATTTGATTATTTTTATTGCTTTTGTAATTTATGTGTATTGTAGGTATGTACTCGTATATGTACTTTTATTTTGTTTTTAAAGTACAGCATGATTTATAGTGGTTTATATTAAACAATTACAATTTATTTTCATTATTTACAATTTATTACATTATTATTTAATATGCAATACGACGGAGAAATCAATTTGAATAAACTTCGTTACATAGTCTGTCAATAAAAATAGGAGCTAAAAGAGCGCGTCGCTTCTCTATAAAAAAAAAACAGCGTCCATGAAGTACTACAGACGTTATATGTAATTGATGCATTTCGACGTTGAAAACATAAGCATGTTATTGTCTTTGTTTAACTCTTGCGTGCCGTCTTAAGCCAAAAGAGATAGCATTACATTGGTCTGTGTCAAACAAGGGAATCGAAAATACGTAACGTCATCTTAAATGCCAACCGTGTCCATTTCGCAGTACATGAGGTAGTAAGAAAGTAAGTAATGTTTTTCAAAGTATTATATTGAATTATTCGCATGTATTGTAATAAAATGGACAAAAATATTGACAGTGAGGACAATGAAGTATTAATAAAAATTCGTCGATGTGGCATTTGAAAAAGCGAAGATCGACCGAATATAACATTGTACAGGCACGTGTTATTTATCTGTCTATAAATCACACAAAAGCCCAAGTATCTCATCTAATTAGACATATTTTAGTATTTTATTTATAAATCTTGCCAAATTTTGCTTTGGTTTCTTCAGATTGTCTGTTTGTTTGTATATTTTGATGATTGTTGTTAACGATTAATTTGAGATAGAGTTGTTCTTGGAAATGTACATATTATCGATATTCTGTTATTAAAATAATTCACTACGAGGTTTTTATGATTTTATTACTATTATTTTTATTATTTCAAGTTTACCTACAAATCAAAAAAGAAAAAAGAATGGTTGGAAATCATACCGCTGTATAATAGTGCCGAATAAAAACATTGAATCAAAGGCCATCTTCATTGATTCGTTTCATTTTGAAGAGTCAAATTTTAACATAACTTTGAATGTAACTAGATTACATGATAATGCAATTCCATCGTTAGGTTTATTGGTAAATAATTTACATTTAATTTAGATTAAATAAGACTCATTTATTAGGCGTTCTCAGTTCCTGAAAACAAAATTATTCACTCGTTTCCGATTTTTTCCATTGACAACTCTAACTACTAAAAATTCTTATTTTATAGAGCCAGCAATACAAATACCTTGTTGGTCTAACGTTGCCGGGTGAAGGCCAATACCAACGTATAGACAGTCTATTTGCCTTGCCTTGCCTTGCCATCGTTCGGTGTCACTCGCCTAGCTGACCGAGTGAAGGCGAGTGCTAACGTGTATAGAGCTCGTTTGACGTAGCTTGTCACAACTCGCAGTCACTCGTGACTACTTGTCTCACTTCGGAGAAGTATCGATTTTCTGCATAAATCAAAGGCGTTCGGCGAATAGTAATCAATTGACATTGTATAATCAGACATTTGTATGCTATTTAACATTATGCGAAACATGTTAATACTAACACTGTCTCTTGTTACATCTCTGTTATACCATGTTTTAAGCAAATAAACATATTATAATAATAGTATTTTTGATTAATAGTACTTTCATTTATTTCCAAAATGAAATGAATGTATTAAAGATTCATTAAAATCAGTCACTGATATTAATGCTATACCAATGCATAAATACAAAACGCTTAAACTATTTGGAATTTGTTTAAAATTTTCCCTGTGAAAATATGAATCTTGAGGTTGGAAATGTATAGGATTTATATTTCAAAGTTTTCTCTTTTTTATATACAACTCTCAAATTACAAATAATATTTTTTTGCAAATTCACCTTTCCTAATATTTCAGTATTTGTAAAGGCAAAACAATAAATTCAAAATTTCATGTGACATTCCCGGATATTCCCATATAACCTAAAATATTCCCAAACGGAATATTAATCTACTTTAATTAAATGTTTGCATGTCGATAATGACTTGTCGATAGATTATGGTACGACACTAAAGAAATCCGCCATTTGTTCGTTCAATTTTTGTTAGGTATGCACGTTCATTCCGTAGTTAGGGCTGTTCCTTTCTTTTATTTTTTTCCATCCTCTAAGGCGTCGCGTCCAATTTTTCAACTTCACGGCGGCGGCCAGGCGACGCGCGTCGACGCGCGACTACGTGCGGCGACGGTCGCATTAGTGCGACCTTAATGAATATGCTATAGGCGAAAAACGTGACGCGTCGCGACGCTTCGACCCTGCGCCAGTGTGAGTTGAGCCTAAGATAGTTGCCTGTTAGTAAATATAAAACTTCATAGGCACACTTATGTCAAATGTTTGAATGTATTAAAATATTTTTTATGTAATCGATAAATTGAATCAATGTGATCATTGTCATAAAATAGAAAAGTAGCAATTAATGTAAAAAATTATGCTTATGTATGGAATGTAAATCCACCCTTGGTTAGACTGGATGCAGCAGCGATTTCTTTGCAAGTTTGTACAGCGCAAGACAATATGTTTCGTGGAGTACTTGACGCGGTGAATTCGATAAGGAAAACGAAAAAATATCGATTTGAAAGTAGTGTTTATTGTGCGATAGTTGTTTTGTGCTTGTACCTTGACAGAGGGGCTTGCCTATCGATGATGCCTCCAGTCCTATATGCTCTAAGTTACTGAACAATAATTAAATGTAACCTCACATTCTCGATATGATAATTGACTTAAATTGTTTCAACCCAAAGCCAATAAAATTCTGAAAAATGTAGTAAAACTTGACATTTATATAGTTCTTCCTTGCGTCGCGTCCTCTATTCCGCCATTTTGGCGTCACCGTCGCCAGAAAATTGATCGTAACGCCCTCATTGAGAAATTTCAGAAGCTCAGAGTGAGTTTTAGATAGATTTTTGCGAATATTCGTAATAATAGTTCCTAATTATGTCAAATATTAATACATTGCGATATAAGTAAAGGTTTTACAGCATATTGGTGTGTGCCACGGCTAGTGAAATCTCATAGTTAGATTCGAAAATCATTGCCCCTGTTCTTGGCGCACCAGCGCCGTCTGTGATCTTTTTTTACTGTTATCACGTTGTGGCGGTAATTTGTTGTTACAGTTTGATCATAGTTTTCCTGAAACTGTTGAAATCGCATGATTGCTGAAACGCAGTGGGTATGGTGGGCTAAGCGTCGTGCTGCGCGGTCTTCATAAGATGGCGGACACAGAGAACGCTGGAAGTAAGTTTTAATTCCAAATTTACTTAAATTTTTCCATTACTCATTTATTTGTATGGGTAAACGCGTGATACATGGAATTTCTATTTGAAATTTACCTATTTGACGCTTTCACTCTTATTGTTATCGCCCAAAGGCGAAGTTTGATAAATTTATTATGTTCGTCATAATACTTACAGCCTACAAGCTTAGGTCAATGTAGGTAATCCGTTAAATTTAACTTTTTCTTAAAGGTAAATTAAAGTCATCAACATTTTATGAATCAAGTACAATTGTTGATTATATTAACTTACCGTTTGCCGTTCAAAAAATGTTGTGAGTCAACAATATAAAGGTGTCAAAATCTTAATGTGAAGGACCTATTTGGTGACTAGCTTTTATATCTTTTCTAACGGTATCAAACTGCTGAAGGATGTGTGTTATAATATAAGTTTGTCAGGACTGATTTTGAATTAGGTGTACCCACATAAATTTATACCTTTCACAGATGTCTTACAGTACAGCTGAAAGATGTGTGTTCAAACACACATTGTCAAAACTTGATTTTGTACTTGGTGGGTACTTAAATTGATACGTGCACATATGACTTACAGTTAAGTCCTTTAGGCATGGTAAAAATTTACACATTTCACTCTCTGCTTGGTACCTAGACAGTATTGCTCCAAGATCATGAGGTCACCTTATTAACAAATTTTGATCAAGATCAGAAGATCTTAAATTGATTATTACATTTTAATTTAGAGAATTTTGTCAAACTTCTATAAGTAATCCATATGCATGATTGTGGTTAATTCGATAGAACTATAAACAAAACTGATATAATTAACTTACAATATAAAGACATTTGACATATTGTTGTGTGATATAAAGTATCATTGGATATAATAAACAATTAATATACATGACAACTTTTAATCTGTGCATATGCTTTGTACTTTATTGCATATACATATATATGTAAGCATCAAAGGCCCAGATACTATTTCAAAGAGAACATATGAAGTTCTTAGGTTTTCACGATTGTTACACATAGGAAATGAAACTATTTTTCTGGATTTAAATTGCATATATTTGTTTTTGCAAAGAAACCAATGCTTCGTTCCCTTTACAGGTCCCATGGTCACGATTGTCTGAGATGGTACAGTCATAAACATTGTCTTTGTATGTCTAATATTAACGCAAACTACCCTATTTTTTCACTGTATTTACAAAAGTTGCTAATTAAATACCTTATTTTTAATTTTACAAAGAAACAATATTCCAATTTAGATGATGCACAAATTATATTAAAAATATACCTTATGAACAGAGGTGTAATGGATTCCTGTTATGGTTATGGAATTGTATTTTGAGATAGTCCAATGCGTCTAATGTGGTTCATAAGCTAATCCCAATGATATGTCTATAAGGTACAAACAGTGCATAAGTAGCTCAATGAAAGTGTACATGCATTGCATGCATTTATTTTATAAATTTTACAAAGTCAAAGAGGGTACTTGTATTCCTTGTATTTTAACCAGTTTGTACTTTCATGTAATTCTTTTTATAACTAGAACCAAAACAATGCATTTTAATGTACACAACTCTTAGATGTTCACTTACCAACAAATTTCCGCCAGAGATTTTAATTGTGATTGTGTACATAGGGACACAGTGTTGTGTTCTAAAATAGCGGGATAGTGGTAACTCTCATTACACACTTTAAGGAAGATCTCAGCTGTCTGTGCCATTGGCAAAGAATAAAGTTTTTATAAATATTTTACTTAGACAAAACTTAAACATAGTCTATGGGGCAGGTGACAGTCTAAAATAGATAACTGGAATAATAATAGTATGCCTTACAATGCACTAATATGTGGTCTTAAAGTAAGGCAATCATAGAGTACCAGAGCCTCTAAAATGTGTCTGGGGAATTACCCAGAACAGTCGGAGCAGATCCAATTTTTAATAGCTCTTTCCTAATTATTGAACCTGGGGACACTTTTATTACAATTATAACACAAATTTGATCATGTTATAATATTGTTTTAATCAGATTAAACGCTAACTCTTAAGTCAAATTACAAGTACCCACCTTGAGCTACTTGGTCTGGATTTATCACCCAATCTTAACTTTGGGTGATACATCGAGTGCTTGGTAAAAAGTGGTGCCAAAAAACTAGTCATACTATAAGGTCAGGTGGTACCTCACATCTGAAGAGCTCTTAAACCTGTATAAAGCACAAGTTCGATTGTGTGTGGAGGACTGCTGCCACCTTTGGGATGGCTCTGTCCATTACCAGTTAGCTGCCTTGGACTTGGTGGAACAAAAAGCAAAGAGACTTATTAACAATACTTCTTTTGTGGAGCCCGAAGCTACAAAATCTCGACTATCGCAGAAAAGTAGCCTGCTTGTCGATTTTCTATACTTAAACAACACTTCTTTTGTGGAGTCGAAGCTACAAAATCTCGACCACCGCAGAAAAGTAGCCTGCTTGTCGATTTTCTATAGGATACATTTTGGGGTGTGAGCGCTGGAACTTTTCAATTTGGTTCCACTCACACTGTACCTCCTTCGGTCGACTAGAAGGCCCGGTACCATCGACAATGATGTCGATGCCCGGTACACTCCATCCTTATGTCGTTTTGATATTCCACCCATTCGCACTAAGCGCTTTACTTCCTCCTTTCTAATGCGTACGGCAAAGGAACGGAATACTCTACCGGCTCTTGTGTTTCCCGAAAAGTACAATTTGGTGCTATTCAAGGCTAGAGTGAATAAGCATTTTTTAGGCAAACACGTACCATCGCCAGTCACATCGTCGCTTAACATCAGGTGAGAATGTGGCCAAGCGTGTGTCTATTATTCATAAAAAAAAAGTAAGTGAAGTTCTACTAAACAGTCAAAAAACAATCATTTACTTTACGAGCATAATAAAATTGTTGTACATAATAGACATACATATTCTATAATAACAAACATAAATACCATATAATAACAATACACATTGATTTTTAAAATAAATTTAACAATACACCAACATAAATTTAACTTCGTGCTTATATTTACTCAGAGATGTGGGATAATTATAGAAATCTTCTCTTGTTCATGGGTTCATCTGTACCTAGGTAGATTAGACTTATTATCGTTTTTTTAATGCCAAAAAGGTAAACAAATATGGCTGACTAATCGCAAAAAGTCACATAAATACAGTTTGTTTTACAGCGTTTAATCCACTTGTTATTTTAATTCACTTGTGTGTGTATTAATTGTGAACTGAACACAATTCCTAATTTGGGAGCACTAAGTTATTACAAAATAGTAATGAAAGACTGTGTTTTTGGGCTTCACTAGTAGACTTCAACAGTAAGAACGCGGACACAGCGCCATTTAGGTGTTCAGTCCATGTAAGTTGTCAAATTTCATTCAATCATGGACCAATAACCCAAGATTCTATCTTATATCTATCTAGATCAGCGCCATCTGGCGCTGATCAATAGCCTGGAAGTAGTTTATGTAATGTAAATGACTGTGGCCTTATCAAATTAATTCCACTTCAATATGAAATATAAGAAGTCAGTTTTTTCCTTGTTATATTCAAATATTGATCATAAGCTAAAATGATTTGCTGAACTTTGACAAATATGCGTATCAATAGATGATATAGTGTGTTTGTTACAAACGAATTTATATGTTCGTTAACTTATAAATATTTAAAAATGGCGACGAAAAACCAATTTTGACCACAAATTTTTGTCAGACGCTGCTAGAGACCTACACGTGCCAGTTTTCAAAGGGATCTGAGCAATTTTTTTTTGGCGCCAACGAACGCTGCCATGGCGGCCATATTTGAAAATGGCGAAAAACCAATTTTGACCACAATTTTTTTTCCTAGAGGCCTCCACATACCAATATTCAGCCGGATCGAAGCAAGTTTTTGTTCGCCCGCCATTTTGGATTTGTCGTCTTGAATTGTTTTTGACACAGGCAGTTAACCACTGTTACCCTCTATGACTTTCCTTCCAGCACCTCCTGCCTATCTCTAATAGTTTGTGATAGAAGACTTTGTATGGCGACCATCTTGTTTATTTGAATTTCGAGCATTTTTTACTTTCGGCGGAAATTGGCCAAGGTTTTATTGTACCTTATAAAAGTGCACAAATATCCCCCATATATAGTTTTTGCATTCCATTGATCGCTCTTTTATATTTTCCACTTTCAGCCCCCGTAGCATGGCTAGGCATGATAGTCGCGAGACGCGCGATAAAATTGGAATAAGCGCGCGCTATTGGCTGTCTCAATCTGAAATAACTTAGATAGCCAATAGCGTGCGCTTATTTCAATTTTAGCGCGCGTGTCGCGACTATCATGCGTAGCCATGCTACGGAGGCAGGTCTTGTCATTATAATTTGCTTTTTAGCCTATCCGTGTATAATAGTATGAATATCTTTTTTCCACCATATCGGGAAGTATGCGTTCTATTTTTCTAAGTGAGTCAGGACTTGTAGCTTTATGTATATAGTAATGAGCCCGGTAACCCATTTACTGGCGGTCGGGCTCGGCTTATGGCCCGTGGTTAGGTTTAAATTGCGGGGTGTGCTTATTCTGTGGGATGCGCATATACCCGGAGCTTGACCAGCCGACAATAACAAAAGGTATGTTCAATAAATAGAAGAAATGTCGAATTTAACATGTGAAATATCGTATTATTTAGCGTTTGTATATATTTCAAATAATTTTTATAACTACCATAATTATTATTAATATAATCCATTTAGTTATTATACAAATTGATCATAATTATTAGCGTAGAATTGGTTAACAGTTGACAGAAAGAGAATGAAATTATGAACCTGCAAACTTTCGTTCTAAGTTCGAAGTTTGATTATTATGTACAGTCAAGAGCACATCAAGCTTGACACTTTGTACTTGGGACCGTTCTTATCGTAAGCGGCATAGAGTTCGTTTTAAGTCTTAAGTGTCAAGCTTCACATGCTCTTGACTCTGTACCTAACTTAAGTATTATACGGGTCTGTTGCTGTATACGTATATGTCGTGTACATAATCTATTTTTACCCTGTCTTGTTTATTTGAATTTCGAATATTTTTTACTTCTGGCGGAAATTGCCTAGGGTGTATCTCATAAGAGTGCAGAAACGTCCCCTCCATATATTATAGTTTTTGCAGGCCCTTGATCACTCTTTTATATTTTCCACATTCAGGTGATCTCGTATTTTTCCTTTTGCTTGGGAATCTATCCGCGTACAACGGTATAAATATCTTTTTTCCACCATATCGGAAAGTATGCGTTCTATTCCTATCAGTGACTCGTAACTTCTAGCTTTATGTATATAATAATAATAAAGTTATAATAATAGGGGTGTTATACAGTCGGACTCTGTTTTTTTCCAGCCATTGAGGGAATGGATAACCATGTTTCCAAAGATCAAATGATTGAATCATGGGTCAACTCAACTGTTCTAGGTAAATGCTTGATGTCAGTTTATTTTGCATTTGTCCAAGAACATTTTTTTTTATCAATTGTAATGTTCCATATTCAATTTATATTACAATTTTTACAATTAGTTGGTTTAGTGCTTTGTTACTTTGGTAATAATTACCAGTTACTATTACTTTGTATTACGATTTAATTTTATGGTGTACATTATCTATAATTCGCATTTTATGTTCCTAAATATATATCAAGATATTTATGTGCTCAGTTATATTTGTATGTGAGGCGGGGTTCAGAATTTCTGTGGTAATTTATTTGGACAAGAGAAATACACAGATTTCTAAAGATAGCAAGTTCATTAATCATGTCATAGGAAAACGAATTGCATCGTATTTATGCCACAGATTTGCTAAATTTATTTGAATATTTAATATGATAACATTAGCATTTCCCAAAAGGAATTCTTCCTGCTTCTGCTAACATGTAACAGATAATTATTTGGCGGCCTATTCCGCATAGCGGCAGTAGTAAGTATGCTTATTAGAACTGAACTCATTAATATTAATGAAATAACCACCTCACGAATCTTTTTTGGCCATTTAAAATAACATAAAACTAATTGGAAACCCACTTTTTATCTGCCTAATGCAATACTCGAGCAAGAGTAGTCTTACATTGAGCTCCAAAATGTAAACTCAACGTCGTGCCCTCCAGTGACCATATTAATGATAAAAGTAGGTACTAAACAAAATTATAAAAGTGAAAGGATCCCCGGTTTTTAAAATATAAGCATTAATATTCTAACTTCAAGCTCTATTCGTCACTGAAAAATAAATTGTACAAAACTTTGTAAAAATTGTGTAAAACTTTTTAGGTAGATTTTATATTATTTAATCGCGGACATCCATTATCTACCTCCGGCCTATAAAGAGTGAAGTGGTAAGAATTTTAGCTTTGACATAATCAACATTCATAGATATTTTGATGATGTCACACTGTCGCATAATATCGATTGTATTTTGTAAATTGGCGGCACATTTGAGGCGTATAAGTATGCTTTCATTTTTCACTTGTTAAATAAGACTTACAAATGTACGCAATAATCTCATTTGCGCTTATACAATACATATAGTGCTTGGGAAAAACCTAATTACTCCAATTTTTGGTTGTATTCAGTAACGTTGTTTCCAAAACCAATCAACGTTTCTTGGTAACAAGATTGCCCAAATTACGCTTTTTTTTCACAGACCGTTATTGTATGCACTTGCATAATAAATTATTTAAATCCTCTAAGCAAATTGATATTTCCAAGAAATTTTGTTTTTGTTTGTTCTTCTGCTACAATATGTAGATCATAAAATTATTATTTCTCTTAAAAACGGAATATAATTTTTGTACTGAAATTACATTTACAAAAATCTTTTACATACTTCTTTTAATTAAGAACAGTGCACTTATCGGAGTAGCTTCCTCTAAGACTCAGTTTACAGGTTTTCTCAACTTTTTTGGACGCTGTATTTAATTTTACATTTGTCCACTTTTTGTTATTTATGAAATTATCTCTGTCTTCCTCCACCTCAGTTTCGTTCGATTGTCCTTCCATGATATTTTAAATAAAAGGGTATGGTCCTACAAAGTGTTTTTTCTTCTATTTGACTTTTCCTTTTCTGCTACAATTGTAGAATAGTATGGTCGCCCCTGGCATTCATGCGAACTTTTTTACATTGTTTATTTAGTGTCTAGTTTAACCAATTCTTGGAAAGTTTCCCAGTGGTATAAACATTAATTTTGTCAATCACGTGTATATGGGCAATTACTATTCAAACAGATGTTTTAACACCATAGCAAAAAATTGAATAGCAAAATCAATCATTAAAGTAATTGCTCCTTATAATAAAATTTAGGCGCTGTTTATAAAAATGAATTTTTCCTTCCATCAACCCTTAGCGGTGGATGATTTTCAAAGTTAAATGGGACCACTATGAAGGTACCCTCCAACAAAAAAAGGAATCATTAAAATCGGTTCACAAATACCGGAGTTATCGCGTAACATACATACAAAAAAAAACCTCCTTTTTTGAAGACGGTTATAAAGTCGTCCCCACGAGTGTTGTAATTGGAGTAAATGGAGCAGAGGGTATAAAGCGAAATTCCGCAGAGTGGACACTAACAAGGAGGAAAAGTACGAACAAAAAAAATTATACTCATAGTCATTGCACAATTTTTTTTTTGACATTAATTGTGTGCTCCCTTGGAATGCTCAGCGCATTTATATCTTCTCTCGCGCATTTATATCTTTGCTCTAAATGTTTTCACATTTAAATATCGAACATTCGTTACAGGTGAATGATCCTGGGAGACGCGCATTACCTTCTATTTTTATGTTTATAATCTATCAAATTACATTTTAATAGTAAGCAACACAGAATACGTAATGGAAATGGTAAGTGAGCGTATGCGCCCATAGCCTTGGGCGCCATCATGTGTCAAAAGCTAGGTAGGCAATAGACGTCAATCGCCGATTTCGTTTCAATTATAGATAATATTTAAATTTAGACGGTTTTGTCAGATGTTCCGTTATAATTGACTTTTTTATTCTTCTATATTTAATCATTTTAACATTCTTTTTTCTTCTTACTGCCGTCCGTGCCCTAACCTTTCGTACAAAGTATACCTGTGCCATGAGTTGCTTTGTTTATACACTTTATACAACCTAACAAGACATTTTTAAATAGAGTTGCTCGGAAAGTTGTACTTTCCATGCTTCACAATGCAGAAAGTGGTACTTGTCACCCTAGTGCGGTGATTTTAATGTTTACTAGCAAGGAGTTCCTATGTGAAATTCATTGTGGATACTTTATGCAGAGAATTTATTTAAATTGGCCTGAATTAGGTTAAGATGTCGCCCATATCAGGAAATGCATCTCAAACTAACCTGTATGAATTGACAATAATCATTTGCGTCTAGAATTAATGTGAAGTGATCGAGATCCTATATATACTTGATTTATTACGCCTTAATAACGCTCTTGAACTGCAGTTAAGTCCTGAGTCACAATTATGTAATGAAGCGAAAAACTTTACAACTGTCAAATGATGTGTTGCAGTTATCAATGAGTAATCGTTAATGTGCACTCAAGTGATATTTATTAATAAAAGACTTAAGTAAGATAGTAGTGTCGATCCTGCACTTGGGGTGGATTTATTAAATTTGCCTAAATGCTTTTTAACATGTTTTTTTTTTTAAATACCGTGATTCTGAACGTGTTCGAATTTCTGTCTTTTAATTTTGTTTCAATTATAAACAAACCCTTATGCATGCACAATTATAAAAATTTCCGATATTTTCTACAAAATGACACAAAAGTTTAAAGTGGAGTACAATGACAGGACTGGTTTTGTGGAATTACCTCCTCCTGCCTCCGTAGCATGCGGCCGCGATAAAGCTATTATATCCACATTTGGCTGTCAAATTCGAGTGATATACTGGCATTAAAAATTTTATCATAACATGGCGAGCACCGTGACCTCATATTTTTGTCTCATCGCGAGCGCCGCGTCCAATGGCTGCAAAAGAATATCGCAGTGCCAAACGTGGCCGCACGGTCACAGCTGATTTGAAAACGTTTGTACAATAATAGTAATATAGTCGCTTGCTGCCGATACTTCAAATGTATCGCGACCTATGAAAATTTGTAATACTGTGAAAAATACAGAAAAACGCCATGTTTTCTTACAAATGTATTGAAAAAGGTTTTGTTTTATATCAGTGGTTCAAGTAATAGATGTCAAATTATTGTAAACTCGTGACATTTAAACCTTCGCATGTGACTCTAATTTAAAAAACAATGTATGTTACTACTATTGTAGTAAAATACAATATTGTAATTTTCTTTTGTTGTCATTTAGTCAGCAACAACAGCACCGGGCAGGCAGAGGAGGAGAACGATGGCGTCACCTACTTCGTTGACGAGGAGGGAAGATATTATTACCACCCGGGAGATGGACAGAACATCATGTCCTTGCAAACTGAAGCTCCCGAGGTAACTTGAAAGTGTACTGTCAAATTTATATTGACTCTTGCACACATGACCATATATGTAATATATATATTTGAAAGTGAGACATACTTATAGAGTGCGTTATATTCCTGATTCTGAACCCAAAAAATAATAAACTAATCAACTTAAAGTTTACAAAAAATATTTTTTTATTTTTTTTTATCGACTACTAATTGTGAACAACATTACTTATCGAAATCTATGCACACCACTATTATTGCTTTGACTAACGCAGCGGCGAGAACAAAGTACAGGTCGGCACTGTTTGCAGAGACAGTGCACGCGCGACCTTGGTGAAGACACGTAAATTATTTGTACTTCCGCTCGCCCGAGCACTGCGCCGGCGGCGAACGCGCCACTCGCCCGAGCATTGCGCCGGCGGCGAATGCACCACTCGCCTGCAAAATGGATATTTATTCTAACGTCGAATTGACTGAGATGGTGCGACTTTACGCAATAAGTGGTGATAGTGTGAGGCGAGCTATTGAAATGTTCCCAAATTGGAGTTTACGCGGAGGAGGTGAACAGTGTCGAAGTTGTTACATGAGAAGATTATCTCAGCATTTTATACTTTGAGACAAAATGTGTTTGTGTTGATCAATTTAAAACAACATTTACTACGACGTGCTAGATTATGCATTGCGGAAAACGGTGGACATTTTGAACACTTGCTCCTTACCACGTAAGTATAAATAAACTGTAAATAACTAAAAAATTAATCATTGTAAATAATTTGATTTCACATTTTTAACTACTATTTTTACTTTTACTATTTTTATTTTTAACTACTTTTTAACTAGTTTTAATGAGTAGGTGAGAGAGAGATTTGAAATCATTGTTATTGTTGCTGTCTCACTCGGCGCTTGTTTTGGTAGTATTCCTATTGCACTCAAAATCAAGCGTAAAGGGAGTCGGTTTATTCCTATGTACACTCCAAAACAAATTTCTTGATTTATTTTTTGTTTTATCTCATATCCTAATTTTATTTTAGTCTATGTTAAGTTTAACATGATTTACTATGACAAGCATGAATATGTCTCACTTTCAAATATAGCCTGTACATATATATATATATATATATATATATATATATATATATATATATATA